TGGGTGGGGGGGTGGGGGGTGGGGGTTGCAAGATCACATCATGGGGTTTTTACCGACCGGTGAGGAAGACAACAACCATGGCCGGCTGGATGAAGTAGAGCTCAGCTACCTCGACCCGTTCGGAGGCTAACCCGTGAACAAAATATCTTGTTCACATGGTTGCTCCAAAGTAGTGTACTACTTACTCCGATACAACTTTGCATCAATTAATATGGATCGGAGTGAGTACCAAAATACTAAGTTAATCAAAGTAAAAAAAAGTGATATGAAATGGTTGTACGTACCATTATTTATTGATATATTAAATGTGCATGTAGCTAGCAAAAACAATAAAAATGCTAGAAAATGACACAAAATAGAATAAACATCTAACCATGTGGATAAATATAAGATAAATATATCATACTTTAACTCAACCTCTGAGGAAGGAATCCAAAGCACAGTAGTAAACCGCAGAATGCTAGAAAATCACTGCATAATGCTTTTCCTTCTCCTTGATGCCGGAGTAAACCGCCAGCAGCCATCCAATTAGCCAAAGCTGAGATGCAACCTTGGGAGGTGAGGAAAATATAAATAGTCGAAGGCATCTTAGAGGTAACTAATCTACTACTAAAGCACTGCAAGCATCCTCAATCTCGATCCAAAGCTGCCCCACATGCTCATATGTTTTTAAACTCATCTCCCGTTTCTCCACCTCATTGATCCAAGGAGTACCTGTATTAGTTTAACATTGCAGTTTGGCCTGCTGTCGATGGGCACTCCGTTGCTGCCAATTTGACAAAGAAAATGTTACATTAGACGCACTAATCAACTCTGGACCTTTGACGCCTTGATCTCTGGGTTATCAGCCTCGTCGATCTAATCGCTGGCCGTGCACATTAGTAGTTTGCTTCAACTTGACAATGTAGCACGCAGTGAGGATCAACTTTGCATTTGCATTGACTCGAAACAGGTGATGCTATCGTTCAGTAGACTAATGGACTCATAAGCCTTTGACACCCGATCTACACAAATAGTTACATTTTGACAAATTTCTACATTTGCAAGATGAAAATCACGCGCTGTCAGATATAAGAGGATTGGTGGAGGATGAGCAAGAAGG